CTCTCTCCTTCGTCTAGGGGACTGCAATAGCAGCAGGAGGAGGAGGAGGCCGCTCCAGATTGCCAGCGTGCATGAGCAACACCCAGACGTGTGTCACGAACTCGCCACCTTCAGCAAGAAGTTCTATGTGACCAACTACATTATCAGACGGGGCAATGTACACCAGCATCTCCGCCCACAAATCCACCAGTAGATCCCACCGGTTCGCCTGGTTATCCATGCTCTCCAACGCCTTCCCCAGCGAAACGCCCTTGCTCAACAGTTGTGCCGAAGTTGTCCCTCCTTGAGTTGCATCTACATTTGGCGGAGCTGCATCAACCACATTGGGCACATTTCCAAGCTTTCCATATTTTTCCCTTGGTGAAGTGAGACCTTGAAGCATTTCTTTTGCTTCTTTCTGTAACTCATCGAGTGCACACTCTGTCTCCACTGCACTGCCAGGAAGCAACATTGGCGCAAAAGCGACCAAATAGGTGCAATACTTAGACAAGACTGTCGCAACAACTTGGTTCGGGTACAGAGCATTTTCATCTGGGTTCCTGATTGTTTCAGAAATCTCGTAGAAGCTAGTTGCAATGTGCCATACCAGTATGCTGTGAGTAAGTATAAATTCGTCGTCGATCTGACATGCCCAGCATAGTTCATCACTCATGCCGTGTCTCATTACCGCGGATGTTCCATTTGATAGATGGCCATTTGTTGAATTCTTGATAGTCCGTGCAACGGCTCTCTTCACCTCCATTGGCAACTCTATAGGCTTGCTTGATTTTCCACTTTGAAGACGATTCTTCAACCGACCCCAGTAACTCGAACTAAAGGAATCAAGGACGAAATTATCCAAGGTTGTTGCTCCAATAGCGAAGCCATTTATGTGGTCTTCGTAGAAGCAAAAGAAGTTTGTTGATGAGGCCATTCTCTTGCCACGATGGATGTGTTGCATACTTAGGGCATCTCCAGCCGCGCCCCCAACAGGCCCCCCCAGGTCACTTTTTCGGCGCCGGCGCCGAAAAAACGGCCCAGTCGCGCCCCCGGGACGCCGAAAATCGCCGGTTCGGACCTTTTTTCCGCCCAGCGGTCACAGGCTGAACCCGGTGCGCTGGGGAGCAGTTGGGGGCTCCGGCGCTAGGGAAAAGCACGCCTGGCCCACACTGACAGGGGAAAAGTCAAGGTTTTCTTCCCCCGACTCGCCTCGCACCCCCCGCGCCCTCGGCCACCACTAGCTATATCCCGGCGACGGCCGCCGCCCTACTCCGCTAGATAGCCATTCCCCGCCGGAAAATAGCAGCACTTCGCCGCGGCAGCCCCTCCCACAGCAGTTGGGCGTTTCCGGCCACCGTTTCCAGCCGCGGAGGCGCGATTTAACGGCGGATACACGCCCACCGAGCGCAAGGTGTTCGGCGTTTTGCCTGCCTCGGTGATGGACTCGGATGAGGAGGAAGAGCTCGCCGCGCTGCTGGAGGAGGAAGCCGCGGTCGATGTCCAGGAAGAAGAGCATCTCATGGTGCTCGTCGCCCTCGTCCAGCTGCTGGCGAGCAATGAAAAGCCGCGGCGAGGTGGCTTGGCGCCGGGCCGGGTGAAAGCAAAGAACTGGCATCATCTCCAAGGCTACTGCATGCTCTACTCCGACTACTTCGCCGATGCTCCACTTCATGGCGAGAGAACATTTTGGCGCCGTTATCGGATGAGCCGAAAGCTCTTACTCAGGATTGTGAATTCCATCCGGAAGTTCGATAACTACTTCAAGTGCAAGATGGATTGCACTGGCGCTCTTGGATTCACCTCCATCCAGAAGTGCACGACAGCGATGAGGATGCTTGCATATGGAGCTCCCAGTGATTCACTCGATGACTATGGGCGCATGGCCGAGTCCACCAGCATAGAGTGTTTCTACAAGTTCTGTCGGGCAGTGGTGGCAGTGTTTGGGCCACAATACTTGAGAACACCCAATGCGGAAGACACTGCTCGGATCCTAGCCCAGAATGCAGCAAGAGGATTTCCTGGGATGCTTGGAAGCATCGACTGCATGCATTGGAAATGGAAGAATTGCCCATTTGGTTGGCAGGGGATGTACAAAGGCGCCAAAGGCGGTTGCAGTGTGGTGCTTGAGGCGGTAGCCACACAGTACCTCTGGATTTGGCACTTCTTCTTTGGTATGCCAGGAACTCACAATGACATCAACGTGCTGCAGTGCTCTCCTGTTTTTGCCAAGCTCGTTGAGGGCCATTCTCCTCCGGTGAACTTCGAGATCAATAGGCACCAATACAACAAGGGGTACTACCTAGCAGATGGCATCTATCCGATATGGTCGACATTTGTGAAGACGATCTCAAACCCTGCGGCAGGAGGCAAGAACGCATGGTTTGCGAAAGTTCAGGAGGCTTGCAGGAAGGATGTCGAGCGGGCATTTGGTGTGCTCCAATCTCGATTCGCTGTTGTTCGGTACCCCGCTCAGACCTGGTCCAAAGATCAAATGTGGGAGATTATGACTTGCTGTGTCATCTTGCACAACATGATCATCGAGAGCGAGCAAGAAGACCCAGTGTTTGACACTGAACCATACTACAGGCAGGGTCCTCTAGCCGAAGTTGATCACCATCTACCGGCAACTTGGACTGCCTATCTCAGTATGCGTCAGGAGATCCGAAACCCACAGGTGCATCATCAACTGCAGAAAGATCTGATTGAGCACCTATGGAGGCTCAAGGGGGACGCCGTGTGATGAAATACGAGTTTTTATTTGTTGAACTATATAATTTGTATTGAACTATTTGTTATTGTATTATTTTGTTGAAGTATTTGATTTTTCTGTGATGAAATATGTGATAAGAAATAATTGTGTTGATAATTGAACGCCGAGACACGGCGAAACCACGTCGAATATGGGCCTATTCTCGCCCATATGGGCCCTTTATTCACCGAAATTGGGCTGCAAAGGAGCCAATTTCGGCGCCTGGGGGCGACGACTGGGCGCAAAACCGCCCCCAGCGCCGATTGTATCGCCGGCTCGCCCCCAGGCGGCGATATTTATGCGTCCTTTGGGGGGGCCAACGGCTGGAGATGCCCTTACATGCCAAGGATACTTTTGCCCAGTCCGAGAAAAAATATGACCATATCTGCAGTAGTTGAAATATTGATAGTGCGCCGAACACTATCTTTTTTTGGCGATGCAGTTATTTTATTAATTATTCACAAAGCCCTTACAAGGTAATACATCAGTAAGTCTGAAGCCATCATCTTGGCAACACTTGTCGCTACTTCTATTCCCGTGATGAAGGGCTGCCGAATGTCCGACTCTAATACTAAACAGACATCACACCAACACCTAACATCTAATGCCGGATGCCCCATCCAAGCCACAATACTTGGACTGGGTTACACACCAGTCCGGCGCACTTTCAGTGGGCACCACATGCGCACACTGCAAGGGCCGTCACCTCCTTCATCGATCAATCCATCCTCAGATCAGATACTGACGCATCGACCTTGCTAAGCCCCCTGCCATTGACGTCACCACGACGCCAGACAGCGTCGCCCTCTTGCGCGAGTTCATCGCCACCTATCGGACGCCGAGATCCACCGCCATCGATGTGTAGGATGAAGCACCGGTCCACCACCTACCGACTCCCAACCTCCAAGCCGTTCACGTGTTCGTCCAGCCAATGAATGTCTCCAAAGATGATGCCCCCATGGGGTGACGATGAAGACGTCACCATCATCTGATCTAGAAGGCTCCTCACGGCTCACGCCTCCAAGGAGGGCTACGACGCCCGTGGGCGCCGCCGTCAATGGTAGCCTCCTCCCAATTTTTTTGGCCATTGACTGGACAATATTCCTTATAGATTCAAAATGCTAATAAGGGTGGGATTATGTGCCTTATTATGGTCGCTTTGGCTATGTAGAAATGATCTTATTTTTAATGACAAAACCCTTCTCCTTTGCAGGTTATTTTTTCGTCGTATGCAATTGCTTCGTACGTGGTCTATGCTTCACCGTACGGAGTTCCAACCGCTGTTCAAGGCGGTGTGTACGCAATTGGAGTGAGTGGCCATGGAGGTTTTTCCCCAACATGTGTGGCAGCGTAACCTCCGTATCGGCTCAGCACCTCCTTCGACATAGGCATAGTGACGGTCCTATTGGACTCTACTAGTGCCGATATGCCAGTTTTTTATTTTGTTTCAGACTGTTTGTGTTTGGCTGTGTGTATCCTAACTATGCAGAGACCGAGTGTTGCTCATCATGATTTGTATCTACTTGATGCTACATTTTGAGTTAATAAAAACGCCCTTTATCAAAATAATGACCGTCAACGGGAAGGCACTGTGAGAGAGTCTGTGATGGCTGCCCTTGCCGCCGCCTGGCATAGGCGACGTGCCAACTCGGCTTGCCGGCCAGCTCGCTCGAGGTCTCCGACGATAAGAACGACACCACGATGAAGACAGGCTCGGACGACTCCGTCCTAGCTCCCGCGCCTTCTGTGCATGCCGACTTCACCATGAAATAGGCGCGGGCGCAGTTCAACATCGCCATGATAGAGGTGCAGCCCGCGCCGGCGGCTTTGTCGCATCGCACACAGCTGCAAGAGACCAACAGTAGCTGCCGACACACCAATGGCGGCAAGCTCCACGTGGCCTCGCCGTTCCGTTATCAGCCCCTGCCCCGCTCGATTTTCTGTGATGCAAAGGATGTCACCATGGGCCGTGCCACCACCGGCTATGGAGGCAGGCGTCACGCGTCGCCTGCCGGGCCTGCTGCCACGGGTAATTTTATAGTTCTGTCAATTGAAGTAGGAGGTTGTCTTTTTTTGGCAATCAGTGGGGCAGGTGGTATCGTCTACCAAAAGTTTCTGAACATTCAACAGCAGCAACACCACCTTAGATTCACTGACATGGATTAACCGGCTGTTTATTCCACAGTAATTACTAAGCATCACGATTTTATTCCATTCTCGCCGTAGCGAAACAAACAAGCAAACCGGCGCCGGCACGCCGGCGTCGGCAACCTCAGACGCCGGGCGGGAGGGGGATGCAGGCGACGGTCTTGGCCCAGGCAGGGCGGGCGGAGATCTCCTCCCACCAGGCCTTGACGTGCGGCCGTGACGCAACCAGCTCCGCCTTGGGGCTCTTGGTGAGCAAGAAGAGCCAGGACATGTGGTTGGCGTCGGCGAGCGTGAACACGTCGCCGGCCAGGTACTTGTTCCCGGCGGCGAGGTGGGCCTCGTAGACGTCGAGCAGCTTGTCGAGCTCGGCGGCCTTCTTGTCCGCCTCGGCCGTGTCAGGCGCGGCACCGAACAGCGGCTTGATGAGCAGCTCGTACACCACGGTCTGTGCCGACGGGAAGAAGTGGTGCGACTCCACCTCCAGCCACGCCTCCATCTTCGCCGACGGCGTTGGCAGCAGGTTAGGGCCGGAGGAGCCGTACTTGGTGGCAATGTACCGGTTGATGGCGCGGGATTCTGCAACCAAATTCGATAATTTCGGACTCAATCTTTGCTCGCCTATACTAGTTAATTGCTACTTGTAAATCTGTTCCTTCTTGCACTTGCTTCATTTGTTATTGACCAAATCCCCACACTCTTTTCTTTTTCAGTGTATAAGTACTACTCCTATATATATCCTACTGAGAGTCTGAGAGTGAGATGCATCCATATATACCAAGAAGAAGTCTGAGTTATTCTAGCTGCAAACCAAAAGTAGCTAAGAAGGAGCGTCAGGAAGGATAGTTACCGAAGACAACTTCGTCCCCGTCCTGCAGCGCCGGGATCTGGCCGAAAGGCTGCAAACAAGCAACCAGAGGAGGAGGTAAATAAATGAAATTATCTATGGGATCTCGGCGAAGAACTACTAATCAACGACGGAGCTGGGGAGGGGTGTTAGACAATGTAACGTGTACGTGGTGCAGTATAAACCGCGTACACATATTAGGATGGCGTTGCGTGTGTTGTACTCCAGGTGGTTTAAGGTTAGTTGAGATTGATCCTTATCTTGTATAGATCATTAGCTTGGGGATCAATCCGGTAACAATCTGAACCACCTCCCTTGTATCTATGGCCTATAAATAACACGCAATGCGTCCCTGCGAAAGCATACGCTTCAACCAATTTTACATGGTATTCAGAGCCTAACCTCTAGCACATCCCAAAACCCTAGCCATGGCCTCAAGCTCCACCGCCGCCGCCGCTGCACCAGCCCTCATTCCCATCGCCGATCGCCTCCATCGCTCCAACTTCCTGGTGTGGCGTGCTCAGGCGATTGCTGCCATCCGCGGCGCTCAGCTCGTCGCCTACATTGACCTCGACAGAGAAGAGCCGGCGCCCAAGCTCATGGATAAGGAGGGCAAGCCAACAGATGCGCCCAACCCGGCGTATGAGATCGCCAGGGCAAAGGATTCCCAGGTTCTGAGTTTTCTGTTCAATTCAGTCTCACCTCCTGTGATGATCCAGATTGCCCACTGCACCACGGCCTCGGCAGCATGGACTGCCATCACGGAGATGTTCATCTCCCAAACCCAGGCGCACGTGGTGAACACGAGGATCGCCCTGTCAAACACCAAGAAGGGCACCTCAACTGTCGCCGAGTACATTGGCCGCATGAAGGCGCTCGGAGATGAACTGGCTTCCGTTGGGAAGCCCCTCACCGACGATGACATGGTGTCATACATCCTCGCCGGCCTCGACTTCGACTACATGGGCTTCGTCTCCTCCCTGTGCGCCAGGGCTGAGCCAATCAAGGTGAACGAGCTCTACTCCCTCCTCGTCGGCTTCGAGAACAGGCTCGCCATGTTCGATGGCGGGCACCAATCCTCCCACTCCCCTGCCAACGCTGTCTCCCGCGGCGGCGGTCGCGATGGACGAGGGAGTGGACGTGGCGGAGGCCGCAGAGGTGGAGGTGGCGGTCGCGGACAAGGCCGTGGAGGTCGCGGCCAAGGAGGAGGCCGCAACGATCTACCTGAAGTGTTCTGTCAGATCTGCTCCAAGCCAAATCACGTTGCTATGGAGTGCTACCGCCGCTTCGACATCGCGTTCACCAAGGAGAAGAGCGCAGCAGCTGTCAACACCAACACCAGCTCCTACGGGGTCGACACCAACTGGTACGTCGACACAGGGGCCACAGATCACATTACCAGTGAGCTTGACAAGCTCACCATGAGGGAGAAGTACTCCGGCCAGGATCAAGTGAACATGCCCAACGGCGCAGGTATGAAACTTAGCCATGTTGGTCAAGCCTATATTCATACCCCCACTCGCAATCTTCATCTTAAAGACATATTGCATGTTCCTAAAGCAACCAAGAACTTGATCTCTGCTCATCGATTATCACATGACAATCATGCCTTTCTTGAAACTCATCCACACTATTTCTTTGTCAAGGACAAGGCAACGAAGAAAACCCTCCTCCAAGGCAGATGTAGGGGTGGCCTCTATCCCCTCTCATCTGCACCTTTGAGCCCGGGGAGGCAGGTGTGTGGTGTCACCAAGGTCTCTCCATCATGGTGGCACAACCGATTAGGTCATCCTTCGTCGACAATCGTTCAGCATGTTCTTAGGAAGAATAAAATTTCCTTTTCAAATAGTGAGTTGAATAAAGAGAGTATATGTGATGCTTGCCAAAAAGGCAAAAGTCACCAACTTCCATTAGTGTTTCCAATGCTCCTTTAGAGCTAGTTTTCTCTGATGTATGGGGGCCTGCCCGAGATTCTATTAATAGGAAGAATTATTATGTGAGTTTCATCGATGATTTCAGCAAGTTCACTTGGATTTACATTCTTAAACATAAATCTGAAGTGTTCAAAATATTTCATGAATTCCAAGCTCTTGTTGAACGACGCTTTAATCGTAAAATCATCACCATGCAAACAGATTGGGGTGGTGAGTACGAGCGTTTAAACTCCTTCTTCCGGCAAATTGGCATCACCCATCACGTCTCTTGCCCCCATGCACACCAGCAAAACGGATCGGCCGAAAGGAAACATCGGCATCTTGTGGAAGTTGGACTTTCACTATTAGCACATGCCTCCATGCCATTAAAATTCTGGGATGAAGCTTTTATAGCTGCCACGTATTTTATCAATAGAACTCCCAGTAAGGTGATAAATCTTGAAACACCTCTTGAACGATTGTTCCAAGAAAAACCAAACTATCATGCTCTCCGCACTTTTGGGTGCGCATGTTGGCCTAATCTTCGCCCATTCAACTCTAAGAAGCTTGAATTTCGCTCCAAACGTTGTGTTTTTCTCGGATACAGCAATCTTCATAAAGGGTTCAAGTGTTTGGATGTAGCAGCCGGACGGGTCTACATATCTCGTGATGTCATATTTGATGAAACCGTCTTTCCTTTTGCTTCACTAAACCCCAATGCTGGCGCTCTTCTTAGATCAGAAGTTCTTCTTCTTCCTGACAATTCTGTCACCAAAGAGCCTCTTGATCATGGGGATGAAATTAGTGCTAATCCATCGGTTAATTTTCATGCAAATCCTGCCATAAATTTTGGAGGAAATCCTGTTGTGTGTCATGATTTTATGCAGCAGCTTGACGCGGAACACGAGGAGGATCCAGGTGCCTGCAGCGACAGGTCTGCAGGCGGCAATCCCAAGCGAAATCCCTCGACCGCCGCGCCTGCAGGTGGGGATAGCAACGCGCTCACGTGCGCCCACGACACGTCCACGCCCTCGCCTCCGGTCGCTGCCGCTGACTGCGGGCCCTCTGGGAGCAGCCCCACCACGCACTCTGGAACAGGCGGATCCAGGGGCGACACCAGGGGCGACACGACTGGCTCTCCGCGCCAGTTGGCGGCTTCTGCACCGCGCGTCGATGCGGGGGCAAGGCGGGCCCTCGACAGCATCCCTGGGTCCGTCGCATCTGCTCCTGATTCGGTCGGGATCCACCTGGGATCAGGTGCGCCTGGATCCTCTGTGACAAATCCGGTGGGATCTTCTGCGCAAGCTGCGGGATCTTCTGCGCCAACGGCTGCTGCACCCGAACAACCTCGGCGTACACGATCTCAGCATGGTATTACAAAACCCAAAATACATACAGATGGTACGGTCAGGTATGGTAAAACTAAGTTTGCTGGTCTTGTTACCACAGAAGAACCAAATAGTCTTGAAGCCTTTGAAAATAAAAAATGGAAAAATGCAATGGATGAGGAATATGATGCATTGATTAAGAACAAGACTTGGCACTTAGTTCCTCCGGCCAAGGGCAGAAACATTATTGATTGCAAATGGGTTTATAGAGTTAAAAGAAAAGCTACAGGAGAAATAGATAGATACAAAGCCAGGCTAGTTGCAAAAGGTTTTAAACAAAGATATGGCATTGACTATGCGGACACCTTTAGTCCAGTTGTTAAAGCTGTTACTGTCAGACTTATTCTATCTATTGCAGTATCAAAAGGTTGGAGTCTTCGTCAATTGGATGTGCAGAATGTGTTCCTTCATGGCGTTCTAGAGGAAGAAGTGTATATGAGACAACCTCCTGGGTATGAGATGAAAAACAAGCAACATTATGTTTGTAAGCTTGATAAGTCCTTGTATGGGTTGAAGCAAGCACCTAGAGCATGGTATTCTAGGTTAAGTGAAAAACTTCAAAGGCTTGGCTTCAGACCGTCAAAGGCTGACACTTCATTATTCTTTTACCACAAAGGCAAAATCACCATCTTTATGCTTGTATATGTCGATGACATTATTGTGGCTAGCTCTTCACAGGAGGGAACTACAGCGTTGTTGGAAGATCTCAGAAGAGATTTTGCCTTAAAGGATCTCGGTAACTTGCATTATTTCTTGGGAATAGAGGTGAAGAAAGTCAAGGATGGTATTCTTCTAACTCAAGAAAAATATGTGTCGGATATATTAAAGCGTGCTGGTATGATGAATTGCAAAGTGTCAAATATGCCTCTGTCCACTTCTGAAAATCTCTCTAAGGAAACTGGTGAAGTCTTGGGAGCTCATGATTCTACAAACTACAGAAGTGTGGTAGGTGCATTGCAGTACTTGACTTTAACAAGGCCTGATATATCATTCTCTGTCAATAAAGTGAAGGAAATATGCCCTAGAGGCAATAATACAGTTATTATTTATTTCCTTATATCATGATAAATGTTTATGATTCATGCTAGAATTGTATTAACCGGAAACATAATACATGTGTGAATACATAGACAAACAGAGTGTCACTAGTATGCCTCTACTTGACTAGCTCGTTAATCAAAGATGGTTATGTTTCCTAACCATGGACAAAAGAGTTGTTATTTGATTAACGAGGTCACATCATTAGTTGAATGATCTGATTGACATGACCCATTCCATTAGCTTAGCACCCGATCGTTTAGTATGTTGCTATTGCTTTCTTCATGACTTATACATGTTCCTGTGACTATGA